GGGGGGGGGGGGGCACGTTGGATAGTGTTAGAATGGACGGACTAACAGTCATCAGACAGCCACTTGGACTCTACGACGTTGTACGTTATCACCGGAATAATTAACGACGTAACGAATCAGGTACCTGAGTTCTCTGCGTTCTTAAGACCTTCGTGAAGGCTAAATGTTTGCCTTTATCCCATGTCAGCTGATCAGGATACGTCATTGCTCCACTTTCCGTCCTATTATGACTTCCACAGCATCGGTCCCCACCGGTTTCATAAACTGCCTTCCTACTCAACACTAAAACCGCACAACTGCGTGCTATAAGTTTCATACCTTACTTCCTTGTCCGTAAAACGGGTTGACCCCCCATTGACCACCAGCGGCCGAAGCAGGTACGCATAAGTACATTCGAACCATTTGAAATACCTGTTCACTTGTACTGATCTGATAATGTAATTCGATAAGCCGTTCTCCTTATAGTTTCAAATGTTTTTTTGGCAGACTCAAATGAGTTCGACTGACTTTCGACTTGTGAAAAACACGGCGGCCTTCGCGAAATTCGATCCTATGACAAAAATATCAAGGCTTCAGTGTAGTCTCAGTTTTTGTCGACCGTGTGTAGAAAGGATGAAACCGTGGTCGAGTTGGTCTACGCAGACCTTTAGTTTGTCAAAGCGAAGTTCGATTTCTGTAAAAGGACACTCTACTAGCTGCAACTTTATTTAAGCTAATGGGAGATTTTTCGGCATGCGACTTGTTCCATGCTCACTAGTTAAAGGGCCACATCTGCTTCCGTGGTACTGAAGTCTTAGTCGATCTGCCATTGCAGTTTTCTGCTTCCTAAGTTGTTTTGCATATTTAAAGTCGTGTGCAGTTACTGAATCTGCTGATGAAAAGTAACCTCCTGTTGAGGCGTACCGAGTAATACCGAGGCTGATAGCTAGCCCTAAGTGCATTTAAGGTGCGGCAATCCATACACGGTCAACGAATCTAACCTAAATTTTGCTGCTTAACATGAAGGCTCTGTAAGTGATTTTACGCTTGCCTCCTGAAAGAGCTTGAACTATTTCACAGGTAGAGCTGATAGTTTAATCTACAAGCAAGTTTATAAAAATGGAATACTTCTCGTCACGGCAGATCTTCCTTTCGCATACTCAACCCTGTCTTACTCAGCGTTGAGCCGATTGCAGTCGGCGGACCAAGAGTCATTTGAACTGTGTCCCTTGACCATCAGTCAATAAATTTAGTCAGTAGTAATTAAGATCAGAACTTTTCCTTGAGACCTCAATTGTCGTTCGATGCGGTCGCAATTTAATTATGAACTTTCGTCTCGCTCCCAGACATATTCGGGAACTTTGTTAAATGGTGTCTGGAAGCTGCGGCCAAAATAATCCAGGTTTTGTCTGAAGAGGCGAATGATGGAATAGCAGACTTTAGTTTGTGTTCCGTGTCATTAAAAATGGTAGGGCAAAATTAGAAAATTCTACTATAATTAGAGGTTCAGAACAAACTGTGTACTATTTTCCAGGCAGAAACAAATTTTCACTTTGGTGTGAAAACTCTTTGAGAACCTCTACCAGGGTTTCTTAGTTCCCACTTTTCACTGTTAAAAAACCGAGTGAGTAAGAGGGGGCGATCGTTAGCAGACAGCGTGCAAGTGTGTTTTTGTTCAGATTGTTTAATTCAGTGGTTTTTATACTGTTGAATACAACTGTCGAAATTTACAAAAATCACCCTTCCCTCAATTCTCCGCATTCTGACAAAGTATAGATTTATTAAATAGGCGAGCGTACTCTTCACTGTAAAATGGAACATATTTCCTTTCCTATAGTAAAGGTCGTCAGTTCATAAAGACCAGATAACTGATCCTTCCAAGTAAACAACATAGAAGGCAATCTTCTGATGAGTGAATCTTTATATAGTAAATAAAAAAGTAGGTGATGGATATCTGATAGAAAGGCCATTGTTTAAATTCCCAGCTTGCGTCAATAGAAGGCATGGTGCCGTCCTGTCAGTTGCCACCTTCCCAAAGACAGGGCTTCAGAACGGCTGCAGAACCGTTTTGTCTCCGCCAGTGCTCGATAGCAGCGTCGTCGTGCTCTGCTCCTCTCTTTTGTCTCGAGGTTGCTCAGACATGGCACCAATGGTCGACGAGATGCTTCATTCTTCTCTCCTCCCGCCAGATTACACCATATAGTTCGGGGCAGAAGGAGCTGGGCTCTCTTCGCTGTTGACCGACACCCAACCGCATTTCCGTGACCGTCTCCACCGTCCTGTTCCGTCGAAACTCAACGCACTTTGCAGCCTCTTCATTGGCAACCATGATCCATTTGGCCTTGGGAAGACACTGTGAAAGGCGACTGACCTCCCTTCTTGAGATGCAGGGCGCAAAGATGCAGTCCACATAGAGGTATTTGAGGCTGGGTGAGTTTAGGTAGACCATTCTCTGGTCAAATTCATTTCTCGACCAAAAGTGATCAACGATGAGACATAACACTTCTAGTTTCGAAGTCGAGAGGATTTCCTGGATGATCTGTGAATACTGATACAGAGAGTAGGGCCATTTATGCAGGAATAGACGACGTAACAATGGACAGAAATTAGGCACTTCACCGAGGTCTTCCGGATCAAGGTGACTGTCCGAGGTTATGATAAGATCCTCGAGACCGGGAAACAGGCCGCATATGTTCTTCATGGGCTGTGAGTGGGGGATGTTCCTCAGGCAATGACAGGAGTGCCAGATTGCACTATTGCAGAAGGTAAAGCCCACAGGTGACTTAATAAAGCATGCCTTCACTGAGTAGAACTGCGCTCGATGCCTAACCAGTGCTGCTTCAAACTCCGGATCAATACTACGGGGATCCGCCAACTCTGCGGGGATTTCAACAGAACGCAGTTTAGGGCTAGTTAGTGTCAGAATACGAAGAAGATGAGTCTTACAAAGAGCTTTAAAACGGTTAAGGAAGGATATGTACTCTGTCAGGCTTTCAGGCACTAAGGAAGGACACACTGTGATGACCAGCTTCTCAACTAAATGACCAAACTGCCTGACGAAAAGCAGAGCCGACGAAACCTCACTGATAGGTGTGGGATTATCCGGGAAAAAAAGTAACTCGAGCATGAGTGCATGAGCCCTTGGTCCGAGGGACGTCCATCGCCCTATCTGAACATTCTCCTTGGTCCAATCAAGGAAGTTATTCTCTGAAGACGAGGCTACATTATTCAAAAGCGCCTCATCCGCAAAACTGACCCCGTTTTCCAAAAGAACTCTGTCGTAAGAAGTGCAAGTCGTGGGAACGTAGACTTCTCGAAGAGCAGGGAAGCGAACATTGCGTTCTACAAAAGGCATATTGTGTACCACCTCCAGAAGCTCACTTCCAGCGTCAACACTGAGATACTGGAGTCTGCAGAGGGTGTCCCGTAGCTCGGGACTCCCGATAAAATGCAACCAGGGTACGCAATCCACCATCCCCTCGCAGACAGTCAGAACCGCAATGTTTCTCAGGAGACGCAGGAGTTGTGGTAGAAAGGGATCCTCCTCATTGATGTAACTGACCAGGAACAGTTTCACTTCCTCCAACAGGGGGGGAGCCGTCACCTCATCAATCAGCTGATCGGACCGGTCAGGATCAGTGAGTCGGGCAGAGAGGAACCGCAAAAGTGGAAATGCACTGATTCGCCCATGAAAAAGTTGCAGAAAATAATCGATTGGTTGCATCTGTGCGCTCAGATCTAGGTGAACTAGGCAGGAAAAGGCCTGCCCCTCGAGGGCAAGACATTTATGCAGGATGCCCAGGGCACCACCCGCAGAGGTTGGTCCCGGACCCTTGAGTTCGAGCGTGCGAATCTGGCAATTGAGTTTTCTTTCAAGCAAGCACATGAGAGTGGTTGAACAGTCCTCAGAGAGGACAATGACGTCAGGGAAGGTGAAGTTCCACGAAGGAAAAACGCTGACAAATTTGAGCCATTCTTCGAGACTGAGGTAGGCTATGAAGCGCTGCATCACTTGATGCTCCGCCAAAATCCTGTCCTGTTGAAAAATAAACAGCCAGGCAGTGTAATAAGAGCTCAGGCACTGTAAAATGTACAGTCTGCACATTTGGATCTAAATGGTATGGATCACAAGAAGACACGTAACATTTTGGTTTGTGTACATTCAACGACATGTCAACTATATTACTGGGTTACTGTGTTAATGCGGCATTTCACGGCTGACTAGCGCCCACACCCCGATAACCGTCTTGACCGGCGGGCTAACCTAGGTGAGGGCAGCCGTGCGGGCATCTCCGCACACGGTAACTCGGCCCCGCTGGCCGGATGGATCACCGCCTCAGTATCTCCAAGGCGAGACTCCGTCTGCAACACCACAGGAGGCCACAAGATAAGCGAACATTGCTCTGCCGGGTTGCTGTTTGTCCGCTTGTTTGTGTTTTTCCTTATCGTAAGCCAAATTTCGTCTTGTTGAACTTGTCTACTCACCGTTTATATTTCAACAATCATTTCGCTGAGAGAGGGGTGGTGAAGCTCTGCATCCCGTCTCTCTACCCTTCCCCCTCCCACCTCCCCCTTCAAGTCCTACGGCCATGTCGTAGGCAGGCCCAAGCTAACTCGGGTCGCTCTCTCGCTTAGTAAAAGTCCTGGCCCATAGCGGAGTTAAGCAGCCGTCTGCGGCAACTGAGCTGCCCTATTTAAGGAGAGCAGTACTCAATCCCGCTGGAGGGGACAGGTTAGAAACTGAGCACCAAACAAATGCTGGCAACCCATGCCGTCTGCAGGCTGACCGTTGCCTCAGGCGCAAAACATACTATCAAATCAATCAAACCAGAAAAAACACACTCTTTCTTCTCCCTCCTTCTCCCCTGGCCAGACTGGTAGGGTGAGTTCGCTCACTCTGGCAGCCTGAAATGCTCCCTCCGTTTAAGAAAATTCGAGGAACAACCGGCCGGAATGGAGGACGGCGCTATTGGCTCGGGAACTGGCGCGCTATAAGGTGTACATGGTTGCACTCAGTGAGGCCCGGTTACCCGAACAGGGTCAACTGGAGGAGGTAGGTGCCGGCTACACCCTGTTCTGGAGCAGTTGTCCCAGGGCAGAGCGACGGGACACGGGCGTCGCCCTTGACATCCGGAACGACATCGTGGGACGATTGCCCTATCTGCCGCAGGGTATCCACGATCACCTAATGAGCCTACGCCTTCCTCTTCGGGAACCCAACCTCGTCACTATCGTCACTGTCTAAGCTCCCACCCGATGACCAGCCATGACGCTGCAAGGAACAAATTCTACGGGGACCTGCACGACCTCCTGACGACTGTGCCGAAGGCGGATAAGTTGATTGTCCTTGGTGACTTTAACACCCTTATCGGCACAGACCATGCTGACTGAAGAAGAGTGCTGGGTCTCCATGCTCTACACGGCTCAAATGACAATATCCTGCTCCTCCTACAACCCTGCACAGAACACCGCCTCATCCTGACTAACGCCACCTTCAACCTTCCACCGCGAGAGAAGGCCACCTGGAGGAATCTTCGGACGTGACACTGGCACCTGTTTGACTATGTCCTCGTGCGGAGCGAGACCAGCGGGACCTGCGGGTAACAAAGGCTATTCCCCGTGCCGACGGGTGGACCGACCATCATTTCGTCATCTCCAAGATGTGGATTCGCCTACAGCCTCACAGGAAACCTCAGGGTAAGCGGAACCCAGGTAGGCAGAATGTCGTTTTGTTATCTTTGTCTGCCCACCATCTCTATTTCGGCAGTGAGCTATCTCAACGGCTAGCCAGCCCTCTAGTCGCTGCCGCCGTCGCGGCCGCCACTGCCGCCGTCGCTGATGAGAATGCCTCCGTGGAGAACCGATGGTGTCAACTGCAGGGCACAGTCCAATCGACGGCCCTGACCGTCCTTGGTCACACACGACGTCAACATCAGGACTGGTTCGATGACAAGGATGCTGACATCAGCAACCTGCGCTCTGAGAAGAACCGCCTGCACAAAGCCTACGACAATCGCCCCACCGACGCTAGCAAAGCAGCTTTCTACCGTAGTCGCCGCCTTGTGCAACAGCGGCTGCGGGAGATGCAGGGCGTTTGGATGGCTCCAAGGTCGAGGAGATCCGAGGTTACAGGGACCGCAACGAATGGAAGAATGTCTTCTCCGTGATCAAGGCTGTTCACGTTCCGCAAACCAAAGCAACTGCTCCTCTTCTCAGTGCCGACAGAAGTACCCTACTCATCAAGAAGACACAAATTCTTCAGCAGTGGGCCGAGCACTTCAGAGCCGTCCTCAACTGTCTCTCTACCATCTCCAACATCGCCATCATCTGTCTGTCTCTAGTGGAGACCGACGACGACCTTGACGGCTCGCCCTCTCTTCACGAAACCATCAGGGCCGGGCAGTAGCTCTCCAGCGGGAAAGCACCCGGATCAAACGCGATGCCTGCTGGAGCCCACAATCGCGGCGGCCCCCAACTCATGGATTATCTGACGGCGCTCTCCTAAGTGATGTGGCGTCAAGGAGAAGTTTAACAGGATTTTAAGGACGCCACAATCGTCCATCTATACAAGCAGAAAGGGAATCGCCAGATCTGCGAAAACCATCGAGGCATCTTCCTGCTGAATATTGTCGGGAGAATCTTCGTTTGCATCCTTCTCAACGCCCTGACATCCACATCGCCTACGGGACGGACAACCAACTCCCCAACCCCCGACAGATACACTTCCAGTCGTGTGTATCCACAACTACCGTTTATGAACTTCCCTTTGCCGACGAAGGCGCTCTCAAAACCACCTCAGAATGGGACATACAAATGAGCATGGAACTTTTCACCGGGGTCACCGCCTGCGAAAGCTTCGGCCTGGTCATCAACACGGAGAAGACAATGGTTATGCATCAAACGCCACCCGGCGCTACTTACTTCGCACCCCAAACCAAACTGAATGGCGCCCAACTGCAAGTCGTGGACAACTTCACATGCCTAGGCAACACCCTCTCCCCCAACACCAAAGTAGAGGATGAAGTGGCCCACCGGACCTCCAAAGCCAGCCAAACCTTCGGTTGTCTGCAAAGCACAGTTTGGAATCGGCACAGTCTCCAACTCGACACCAAACTGAAGACGTACAAGGCGGTCCTCCTGCCGATGCTGCTGTATGGAGCGAGGACTTGGGTGATGTACTAGAAGTAGGCGCGGGGACTCAATCATTTCCACATCAGCTGTCTTCCACGGGTACTGAAGCTGAGGTGGCAGGACCGGATCACCGACACAGACTTACTGAAGTGGACGGGAATCCTCGGCATCTTTGCCATGCTGAGACAGCTGAAACTGCGTTGGAGCAGCCATCTCGTGCGGATGGAAGACGAACGGCTACCCAAACGACTCTTCAATGGAGACGTCCCCACGGGTCCCCGCCTCCAAGGAAGCCAAATCTGTCGATACAAGGACACTCTGAAGACATCCCTAAAGCTTCTGCAGATCAACCTAGCAAACTAGGAAGACCTCGTCCGAGACTGACCGACCCTCAGGAGGACATTAAAGACAGGAGCAGTGGTCTACGAAGCAAACCGCATCGCCGCCGCGAAAGCCAAAGCGGGGCTTACAAATTCCAACTGTGCTCACCTGGCAACGCCAACGCCCAACCGCCTCCTACGTGTCCACGATGTCTACGGACATTCGAGGCGTCATTTGGACTTGTTGGACATCTCCGGACCAACTGCAGAATCAGGGCTGCACCAACTGCTGTCGCCTCGTCCAGATCTGCCTCATCCTCCACGCCAATAACTAACACTGACTGCACCCCCGAACCCCCATTATCATCCACCTTCTTCTTCTTCTTCTTCTTCTTCTTCTTCTTCTTCTCCTCCATTTCCTCAACATCCACTACGGCGGCTCCTGTAGCCACCACCACTGCACATAGTCCTGACACACCAACAA